GTAATCTGGATAAATGTATTTTGGCTTTTATGACTCCTATTTCAAGAAATTAAGCGTGATGTGACGTGACACACACTGGCTTTAACATAGGTTAAATACTTCTCACTTTTCACTAACGTGGGTCATTTTAATTTAGCGCCGGATAATTAATAATTAAAAACTTATCATCAAGCTAGTTTTTTCGCATATACACTTTAAAATAAGAGAAGCATACAAACACCGTATTGGCCATATGTATCTGTTTGATATCTTAGTAACAAGAGAATTAAATTAAATATATCGTTAAGAAAGACTAGAAAATACATATTCAAAACGATGTTTTAGCTAATAGTTTCCAAATCTAGATAAAATTTTCAAAACTTAATTCAGTTTACCACGCTGAATTTTTGTACAGTTGCTGTTTTACTCGTGGCATGCGAAGGAAAATATACTTTATTCTTAAAATATTAATTGTGCTTAATTCCTTAACTTCTTAATTCCTATAAGTTAAGTCCTTAGAAAACTTCATATTTTTCGTTCGTGTAAGATTCACATTGCTTTTGAAAAAGACGAAGGAATTTACCTATCGAAATAACATTCCAGATAACGTAGCTCTGTTAAATTTATGGAGCTGATCGAAAGCTTCTTTTCACACAATATTATCTACATATATACTATAAAATAAAACGTTCTTTATTATTGTACGTACCAAGAATGGCTGTGAAGAGTTCCGGTGCAGAGCTTCCTGCTGCCATGAACGTTGCCCCAGCAACATCTTGACTCAAGTTGAGACGCTGAATAGAAATAAAAAGTATAACGTCAAAAGACACAGGCAAGTGCATCAGTTTTACACTCGGTGTTAGGATAAAATAAGATAAAAAATAAATATTTTAAATTTCACTTTCGAATTAGTAGAAAGCGGAGAACATGTAGGAAAAAATTCAGGTAACATACGATGCAGAATTTATTTAAGTAACAAATTAGCTAGCAATATATTTTCTCGTTAATAAAAACCTGATGTTCAGACGTAATGTTCACAATGTACTAGCAACAGTCTATTGAGTGATTTTGTTTTCTCTGAACGAGGGCGAAAATTCATCTTTGTAATTTATCAATTTATTGCTTTATGTACCGTATTTTTCGGTGTATAAGACGCACTTTTTTATCAAGAACTACCGTATCTTTCGGTGTATTAGACGCACTTTTTTACCCCAAAATTTGACGTCAAAATCTGCTTGAGTCCTATACACCGAAGGTATGAATAATATATGTATATATACGATATACACAAGCCATGTGTAAATATATTTAAAGAGGCATGCATACTTCAGTTCAATTGAATGTGTTATTTATAACAATAGTAGTTTTTTCTTTTAAAAACATAACTATTTATAATGCTCCCTAAATAATAAAAAAATAAATTATAGTAATGGAGTTAGTAAAGTTAGTATAGTAAAGTTTTCCCCAAAACTTTGTCTTCAAAATAAGGGTGCGTCTTATATTCCGAAAAATACGGTAAATCACACTTTTATTTTACTTAAGCCTAAAAAATATTGGATGTATGTGAATATGGCTATAGTAGTCGTTAAAAAAATAATCTTGATTGATAAGGCCTAAAGGCTAAAGTTTATAATTCATAGACGCATCATAGCAATTACATTCATTTAAAACATCTTATATTATTACATTTTGTTTAACTTAAAGGTCACAGCTGTTGGATTTAGTTTGCCACGGTATTTAGACCTGACTAGACTAGTCTTATAAATGTTGGTTTGTGAGATTTCGTAAAGAATATACAGTAATTTTTAGTGTTTTTCATCTGTTATTATCTCACAAATATCTAAGTGATAAAATCACGTGCGTTTTATGTGTGTAATACATGAACAATCTCTATAATTTAATCATTTAAATTTCATAACTTGCACGTTATCCATATACTCAATATTTTTTGTTTCACTTCAATTTATACAGAATGTATACCTAAATAGACTTATTTATTAGCATCGTGTATTTCTAAAATAAGGAGATCCAAGGAAATTAAAATTACCGAGTTTTCTGACACAGTATATTTCACGATACCTTATCAAACTACTGTACATAGATACGACTGGCGCCCTATGCGTAAATTAAAGCTGCTCCCCTACTCACGCTGGAGTCCACGAGCATTTGGAGCCTTAGCCAAGCACCTGTATTACTTATCCTTAATATTAATATTTGTATTCGAGGGAACACTTTCATTTTCCTGATACCAGCGTATAATTTCTGTAAAGTAGTGCTTTAGCTACATCGCTTTTCATTCTAAAGAATCTAAGCAGCACTAGGGTTAAGCAAATGGTTGAGATCGTTCCCAAAACACGGCTCAAAGGACAGATAAGGCTAGACTGAACATCTGTTATACTACTAAATCGCTCCCATGGGTTATGTAAAAAGTAAAATGGAGTAGATTTGAATTGAAATAAAAACCTATGGAGAATTCATTTTGCTTTTCTAGTTTTAAAAGTGTCTATTTATCTATCCCTCTATCTATCATTTACCTAAAGCACACAAGAAGTTTGATTGTTTTGTAATATGTGTTGTCGTTATTTTCTCAGTTCTAGACTCTAAATATTTATGTAATTCCATTTTACCACAAGACTTTTCCTTCTTGACAAGAAAAAAAATCGCATGGCTTCTAACATGGAGTCGTTCATCTTTCTCCCTACCGGATTATCAGATTACGTTATCTTGTGACTGTTTCTCTTTTGGCCATTCTTCTGTAAAGAAAACAACTGTGGACATATTGTTAGTCTTCATTGATATCATTTTGATTATTAGTTTTAGGCTACCTTGATCGGCAGTACAGATTTCAGGAGAGAAAAAAACAGCATGGAAAAAAAAAAACATCGGAGATTCCATTTCTATCAAAACAAACAGAAATATTTCTGAGTGCATTGATATTGGCCTGAAGAACTCTGTACTTAGGCGAAAAGCTTCGTCGGCAGCTATAGTGTGACTGAATTATTATTTATACACGCCTCTTTACTTTCAATCAGAAGTTCTTTTTAATAATTACTAAAATAGTCTCTTCTTCCGTTATCGCCGTGTTCGCTTGACCCGCTCTGGGATCAAAAAAGTTAGTTCTCTGGCTCGCCTGTTTTTCTGAATAATGAGAGGTTAATTCAAAAAAATAATCACAATAGTTAAATAATAAAAAATATGGAAATAAATCTATATAAATATAATAGTATTGTCTGTTGTCTCTCCATGTAACTACTTGGATGTGGATGGATCTTTACCAAAATTGGTATGGAGGTTCATTAGGTCCAAGGCCCGGTATGGCCAGGTGGTTAAGGCACTCGACTCGCAATCTGAGGGTCGCGGGTTCGAATCCCTGTCACACCAAACATGCTCGACCTTTCAGCCGTGGGGGCGTTATAATGTGACGGTCAATCCCACTATTCGTTGGTAAAAGAGTAGCCCAAGAGTTGGCGGTGGGTGGTGATGACTAGCTGCTTTCCCTCTAGCCTTACACTGCTAAATTAGGGACGGCTAGCGCAGATAGCCCTCGTGTAGCTTTGCGCGAAATTCAAAAACAAACAAACAAACATTGTTTTGCATTTTGCGGTTTTTATGGACGTTTTTGCATTTTTTACCTCTACTTCGCCCCCTGTTGATGGCATGAAAGTTTGTTGGGTCCATGCGGGGTTACATACAAATTGCGGTTTCAAATTTTGTGTTTGGAAGTTTTTATGAGCGTTTTTTTACAATTACATAAAAGGGAAGCAATTTACCCTAATTCTTATTTGTTGTGATACAATTTTATTAGTACATTATCAAGTGACTAGCTTTTATGTAACACCTCATTACTTGCACACAAATTGTTATGAAATTTCTTCTGACCACTTTACAACACCAGCTTCCATAACCAATAAGTTTGCCATCCCTCGTTCAGTTTTAGAGAATTGCCATCTTTCTTACAATAAGATTACCATCCCTTCGTTCTAGTTTAGTAGAATT